GGAGCGGTGGGGGGGACCCGCAGGACTTCCTTCTCTGTAACAGGACTCAAAGAAGGGCACCTACGGCAGGCAGAGCAACACACCACTCCCCTGCCCCACCAAGATGCCCACAACTAGTTCCCAGGACCTGTGACTACGTGATGTTGCAGGCAAAGGAACTCTGAAGATACAGTTAAAGCTGTAAACTCTTGAGACTGGGGATTATCCAGGTGAGTCCAATCGAACTGCACGAATCTTTAAAAGCTGAGAACCTTCTTGGCTGCAGTCAGAGATGGGCAGGAGGAGGAAGAGATCTGAAGCACAAGAAGGACTCAATCCACAGTTGCTGGCTTTGAACTTAAAGGAAGGGGCCCTCCAGCAGCTGGGAACAGCCCTCAGGAGACAGCCAGCAAGAAAACGAGGACCTCAGTCCTACAGCCCCAAGTAACTGCCCTCTGCCAATACCAGCAAAGAGCAGGAAACAGGTCCTCCCCTAGAGGCTCCGGAAAGGAACCCTGTCCTGCTCGCACCTGGATTTTAGTCTGGTGAGATCCCTTCCAACTCTTCACCTACAAAACTGCAAGAAAATTCACTTCTGTTAAGTTGGCATAGTTATGGTAATCTGTTATGCCAGCAAAAGAAAACTAACACAGCACCTGTGTTATGTGTCATTTTTTTCTCTCTTTTAATAATAGGGACAAGCATCACTCAGAGCCAGGATCAAAGGTGAAAAAGCTGCGCTTCTCTGACAGGTGGTGGTTTTGTCTTGATGGGGCAGTGTCTGACAGCTACTGGCACCCACTCAAATCGCTTCAGCAATGATGAGATAATCCAGGTGGCTGCTTTATGGAGAATAATACAATTATCCAGGTCCCAAAAGGAAGGTATGGACAGGTCTAATTAATTAAACTGAGTTGCAAATTGGATGTACAAAAATCCTATGTTTTTCCTGCAGAGGGGAGGAAAAAGACATTCATTCCAGGAAAAAGGACCAAGATCCTATTCATGGTTTATTGGGCAATTTAGCTGTCAGGTTTAAACATCACTATCCTGAAAAGGGGAGGTGGGGAGCTTTTTAAGCCTCTGCCTTTTAAACCCCTTGGATAATTTTTCTCCCTAATTCACCTACTTTTT